CTCTCCACAATACCCAGCTATTTTTTTAGAGATGAGATCTCACTCTTGCTCAGGCTGGTCTCAAACTCGCAAGCTCAATCGATCCACCCACCTCAGCCTCCTAGAGTGCTAGGATTACAGGCCACCAAGGACATTTTTTTGAGAAGCCTCAGGGAGGAGGCTGCCAGAGGACTCTAAAGCCTAAGTTTGAACATGACTCTCAGCAGTTCATTTCTCTCCAGTGGTGCCCAAGGCATCCCTTGGCCTCTCCCTTCCCCTCTAACCTCATCTCAAGTCCCATCCCTCAAAGTCAAAGCCACCTTGGCATCTGCAAAGTTCTTGAACATGCCAAGCCTGGCCGTTTCCCTAGCCCACTGCCCCCTACTCCTCACATCTTCTGTTTCTTGTTATCCCGTGTTACCTTAAATGTCACCTTCTCAGAGAAGCTCTCCCTAACCAATCATCTCACTATCACATCAGCTTAATTTTCTGCACAAAGATTTTCTAAATTTACTTACTCACTTTCCATCCTCCTACCCCACTAAAATATAAGCTCTATGAGAGATCAACTTCATCTTGCCATCTCCTTCACCACGGCTTCCAGGGATCCAATAGAACCGTCAAATGAGTAGAAATTCGGAAAGTACAGAAAAGTATGAAAACAAAAGCAAAAAAAAAAAAAAAAAATCACAATCTCCACCGTCCAGAGATACCCAATGTTACTTTGTTGGTGCAATTTCTTTGCCATCTGTTCTACATATACATATATTAAAAATTGGGGTTTGTAAAATTTTTAGTGTTGTATTCTGCTTTTATTTCTCATGAAGAGTGATTTTAACTGATTTTAAACTTAGAGAAAAATTGCAAGGTAGTACAATGAATCCTTTATATCCCTCACCCTGCATCCCTTGAAGTTCATATCTTATATAATCAAATATAATTATTAACATCAAGAACAGGAAATTAATACTCATACAATATTATTAACTATACTACAAGCCTTATTTAAATTTCACCAGTTTTCTATTAATATCTTTCCTCTATTCCAGGAGCCTATCCAGGATCCCACATTGCATTTGTTAATTTTCCTTTGTTCTTCAGTCTACTGTAAAGTTCCTCAGTCTCTTCCATGAGAGATGATTTCACCTTTTTTTTTTTTTTTAAAGAGACAGGGTCTCATTCTGTTGAGAATGGCAGAATCATAGCCCACTGCAGCCTCAAACTCCTGGGCTCAAGCAATCCTCTTGCCTCAGCCTCCCAAGTAGCTGGAACTACAGCCATGCGCCACTACACCTGACTTTATTTTTCTATTGAATTTTTTGATCCTTTGTCCTTCATTTATAAGAATTCTTTATGAGTATTTAGAGACCTTAGCCTTTTGTTTATGATATATGTTGGGAATATTTTCTCCCATTTTGTCAATTATCTTTTAACTTTATGGTGGTTTTATCATGCAAATTTTTAAAAGGTCAGTCAATCATAGTCACTCATGCCTGTAATGGGTAGGTGGATTGTTTTGAGTTCCAGACCAGCCTGAGCAAGAGTGAGACCCCATCTCTACTAAAAATAGAAAAACTGGCCGGGTATAGTGGTGGGAGCCTGTAGTTCCAGCTCAGGAGGCTGAGGCAAGAAGGTTGCTTGAGTCCAGGAGTTTGAGGTTGCTTTGAGCTATGATGCCACAGCACTCTATCCAGGGTGACAGAGTGAGACTCTGTCTCGAAAACAAAATAAAAGGTCAGTCAAGATTGTTCCTGATTTCTCTGTTGGAGCATGCGGTTACTGGAATTACCATGTCCACTAACTACACCACAGCCTATTACTCACCATTTACTGAACACTTGCTGCATACCAGGCCCTGGTCTGGGCTCCTTTCATATATCAGTTCAGTTTTTCTCACATTGCCCCTGAGAGCTAAGCAGCGCTCCCACTGGACAGTTTAAGATAACCAGCACTCACGAGGGGCTAAATGACATGCAAGATTTTTTTCAAACTCCTAGATGTACGATTCTAGAAAGTGTAATCTAAACAGTTGGTTCTCAAAAGTTGGTCCCTGGACCAGCAGCTCCAGCGTCACTGAAAAGTTGTTAGAAAGCAAATTCTCAGGTCTGTCCCCAACCTGCTGAATTAGAAACTGTGAGAATGGGGCCTGGCAATCTTCACTGTAACAAGCCCTCCATGTGATTCAGATGCTGTAAACACTGAGCTAGAGAATCCCAAAGGGCACAGAAGCTGGAGGCAGCAGCTACTGCAGATCAGCTGGAACAGTGATTCTGAGCTTGGTTTCAAGAAATAACAGAGCTTCAGAGATTACTATTGGTAGCGCCGGATAAGGAGTTCCACTGGCAAATAAGTTTGAGAGCCCCTGGCTTAAACAAAATTTTTTGTTTGTTTGTTTTAATTGTTGGGGAATCATTAAGAGTACAAAGAACCAGGTTACACTGCCTTAAACAAAGTTGAAAAGGCATTTTTATGGCAGGGTTTCTTGAGTTTTAATTAGGCTAGTGTACCTTGTGCATCAAAGAGAGAAGTCACAGGTGGTTTCCCAAACTTCCTAGACTAAGGAACTCTCTTTTCTCAGAACACCTATTAACTATCCCACTGGACACCCAATGGAGCCCAGTCTGGCTAGCACGGCTCTTGAAAAACAAAAAGCCAAAAAATACAGAAATACAAGAAGACAACTCCTACGGAGAGCAAGAAATGTCAATACCCATTCTGAATTCTAGGAGGAAAGACTTTCCCTTGGCTTCTGTTTAATTACAGGTTTTGACAAGTTCACCACTGCAAGGTTGGGGTTATTAGGAAAAGAAAGCCTGATAGTAATCCTGCCCAAAGCCCACAGGAGCCAGGTAGTGTATTGGTTATATTCTGAGCAATGGAGGACTGACATTTTCAAGAGTTTGTTAATTATTTTACTAACTGTTCAGGGCAGAGAGGCCAGGAGATGAGTGTTCCACATTCCACAAACAGGTAAACATCTGGAATGAGCTCCCTGACCCCAGCCCGTCCAGGAAAGCAGAGCTGGCCCAGCATCCTAAGGGAAGACAGGTTTTAGAGACATCTTTTACCCTCTATGGGTTTTAAATATCATCACCCTTCCCCAGATCTAATCATGGGAGCCTTTGGGGATCTGGAAGTTTTTTTGTTTTTGTTTTTGTTTTTAAACAGAGTATTGGTCTGCCACTCTGGGTAGAGGGCTGTGGAGTCATAGCTCACAGCCACCTCAAATTCCTAGGTCAGGCGATCCTTCTTGTCTCAGCCCCCCTAGAGTAGCTAGAACTACAGATGCCCACCATGACACCTGGCTAGTTTTTCTATTTCTAGTAAAAAAGGGCTCTTGCTCAAGCTGGTCTTGAACTCCTGAGCTGCTCACACCTGTAATTCCAGCACTTGGGAGGCCAAGGCAGGTGGATTGCCTGAGCTTACAGGTTCAGCCTCAACCAGAGCAAGACCTTGTCTCTTAAAAAAAAAAGAAATCACCAGGAACATGAAATATTTTGTAATGGTTCTAATCATATATTTTACACGTAAAATCAAAAATCTTAAATGTAAATCGGAATTATTTCACTAAAAATGTTGAACAAAGGAATATGCATACGCTGTTCAACATTAAAAAAATATTTAAAAAAACATTAGTGAGAATCAGAACAGCTGAGGAGGCTCTGAGGTGTGCCAACTTCATGCCCAAAGGAACCCCAGCCTCAGAATAAGAACAGGGTGATGCCAACACAGCTGGAGCATCACTGCCCCAGCTTGCCCCTTCCTGCCCCAGCCCTGGTTCACCCAGCTATTCCTGGGAGGCGTTGGGGATGGCCTCCCTGTGCCTAAGGATGAGGCCCTACTGTGCCTACCAAGTGCCACCTGCCCTTCTCCTGACTGTGTATGGGCAACCTGGCTCTCATGTGTGATTTCTGGGTTGGGAGTGTTTGAGGAAAGCCTCAGCCATTGCAGATACACACAGCCCCCTCTCCAAGGTGCCAGGCAGGGGGCTCTTTTTGGATTCATACATTCCATGTTGAGAAACAGGATTTTAAAAAATAAGAACACATTATCTTACTGGCAAAAGGATCCTCCAAGGAGCTACAATTACTGGCATAGAAAGCACTCCAAAATCAACAACAGGGTTTAGGTGAAGGATTTATTTGGTACCATAGAGCAAGAAACCATCACATTGCCCCCAAAACAAATACTCAAATTGAGCCAAAGGGAAAAACTGGACTGTTCACTTACAAATTCAGAAAGATGGACCCAGCATGTCAAGATTTCTGGTAGCAGCCAGGCGCAGTGGCTCACACTTGTAATCCTAGCACTCTGGGAGCCTGAGAGGCCATGAACTGCTTGAGCTCATGTGTTCAAGACCAGCCTGAGCAAGAGCAAGACTCCATCTCTAGTAAAAATAGGAAAACTGAGGCAAAAGGATTGCTTGAGCCAAAGAATTGGAGGTTGCTGTGAGCTATGATGATGCCACAGCCCTCTACCCAAGGTGACAGCTTGAGACTCTGTCTCAAAAAAAAAAAAAAAAAA